ACAGTAATATATTTGAATAAGAGGAAGGGGAATGCAAAGAATAAGAAGAGAAAAAATATATATTTCAGTACATGTATCATACATAAGTGGAAAAAGAACAACTTTCAGCCATGCAGAAGAAGACGAAAAAAACAAAAACAAAAATAAAAGAAGAAAATGAAAAAAAACAGAAAAATGATATAATGTTGAAGGACAAAATTAAGGTTTGATTGAAGAAGGAAAGTTAACTTTTATTTTTAAGAAAATCAAAGAATTTAAAAGAGTAAAAGATAAAAGAAAGAAAAAGTTAAGAGAGAATTTTCAATTGCTGGAAGTTTTAGGATGGCATCATGTAAAATTTCTCATGTATTTCTAAATAGTAAAGAATATATATATATATATATATATATATATATATATATATATATATAGCTAGCAGGACCTTTTTTATATCAATGGAAGGTCTTATTTAATTTTTGACATCTCATAAACAACAAACACATATCTTATTGTCAAATAAGATAAAAAAATCCTTAATATTTTAGGATTTAGCTAAATGCTTTTATAAGGTTTTTGTTTATTTTATTTTATACTATTCTATTTTAACCTCAGTGGGTTCAATGTTAAAATGTTAGATTAATAATATTATTAAAAATAGAATAATTATTTTAAAGCGATGAAATAATACTTTAAGAACCCTGTTTGAAACTTAGAACCCTCACAAAGAGATGCCACTAATAGCAGGCAAACAAAGCAGGAATTATGAGGCACACTTGGGATTTGCAATGTGGAAGCTTGGATAGAATTTTAGATGGTGCAATTCTCACTTTATCAAATCCATAAACTTGTGATCACTAAAAATTCCACACACAGGCTCATGGAGTTTGAGAAAATTACTGCAGTTAAGGTATCCAACTAGGCTATTTATCAAGCACAAGGTTGGTAATGGAGCTGACACATCATTTTGGTTGGACAATTGGGCTCCAGGAGGTCCACTCTGCACTCGATTTCCATCTTCTGTTTTCACTGCAACTGGCATTAATGAAAGCACCACTCTTGAAACATTCATAGACAGAAGCTTCACTAGGTCATTTTCGCAGTCACTCACAATTCTTATTCCAGAGTTATTGCACATACAACCTCCATGTCCGGCTATCACTGACAAGAAGGTTTGGATTGCTTCACCTACTACACGCTACAGCTTCAAACATATTATTGCTCACTTAGCAGGGCACCTTGATAAGGTCCCTTGGTTCAACTTGGTATGGAGTTCCCCAATCATACCACGAATGAAAATCAATCTGTGGTTGGCAGTCCAATCTAGACTGCCAACACTTGACTGCAAATCCATGACCAAATTCCAAAACCTGTGTCCACTTTGCTCCAATGCAATGGAATCACATGACCATTTGTTCTTCACATGCTTCTACATCTCGCCAATTTGGAGGTTCATCAAGGACAAGTGTCACTTCTCAACAGTGATCACAAACTGGAGCATGTTGGTGCAGCTAGTAAGCTTCATGTGGAAGACCAATTCTCCACAAAATTTGGTAAGGAAGATATGTCTCTCTTCTCTTGTCTATCATACTTGGGAATAATGCAATAATAGAATCTTCAAGATGGGAAGTTGCTCACGAAGAGCACTGCTAGCCAAGATCACTTGCTCCATCACTTTGATTCTAAGACTGGGATTTCTAAAGGATTGCATAGCCTCGAGATCAATCCTCTACGAATGGAACCTCCCTCCGTCGTGCGGCAGACCACCTCCTCGCCCTCCAAATTGCTTGACTTAGCCGTTAATTCGGCTACAAACACTCACCGGAATCGATTCTAAGTGATCTCATCACTAACGGTTACAATGACACTTAATATGAGTCACTTCTGTTATTTGATTGGGCCTGTGCCCTTGTTACTCATTTGGGCATGTTTTATCCTTTTGTATTTGGGCTTCGGCCTTAAACTTTGTAAATACTTTTAATTAGGGGTGGCAAATGGATGGGTTGGGTCGGGTTTGTGTTTGGTCGAAAATGGGCGGGTCAACATGGATTAGTACCCATATTCAACCGATTAAGAACGGGTTAAAAATGGGCGGGTTGAAAACGGATAGGGTCAACCTGTTATGACCCGTGGACCCATTAATTATTATTTTTAATTTTTTATATTTTTAATTTTGTTTTATTTAAACTTAATGGGAACATTTTTGGTGCCTCTACCGGTGTTGTGGAACTAGTCGGAACCGGAGCATGTCTGATGCTCTTTTTCCCTTTTTGGGTGTCATATTTTGGCCGAGTTTACCGTACCTCCGGCCCCTCCCCTATGTTATGCGACCGTAATAGTTTGTTACGTTCCACCGCCGGAGAAATTTTCCACACACGCGCGCGCACAAAAATTTACAATTTGCGAAAATTTTTATTTGGAAGATGTAGTAAGGAATTTTTATTTTTAAATTTTTTAATTTTTAAATTTTTTTTATAAGGTTTTATTTTTCTTTTTAATTTGGAATTGCCACATCAGATTCTACAGCCTTGCCTGTCACCATCTCATAGCCGTCACCGCCGTTGCACCAAACAACGTACATCACAGCCGATAGCATCTGAGCACTGCCGCCATTAGAGGCCGAAATCGCCGGTGCCACCACGGATCTCTGCCGCCGTCATCATCGATCTCATCTGCCTAGCCGAAGTCGATCTCTGCCATCACAGCCGCTGCTCTAGCCGCCGCCGATCTTCTCTACCGAGTTGAGCAAACAACAGAGATAAGATCTCTGCCGTCGCGACTCCGTGTTGAAGCCAATCTCTGCCACCACCGATCTGATCTGCCGCCTCAGCTTACCTCAACCAAATCCCATCCTCTCCCTGCAAATCCCAACCTCTCTCCTCCTCCCTTCACCTCCTTTTCTTCACCGGATCTGTCTTGGCCGAACTCAGATCACAGAGGACCGGCAATACCCACCGCCAGCCGCCATTCCTATCCACATCCGACCTTCAACTCTTCCCGTCTTTCACCGTTCTCTTAATTTTAATTTTAATTTTTTAATTTCTTTTTAATTTTTTAAATTATTTTTTAATTATTTAATTTTTTTAGAAGAAATTTCTAGAAATAGAAACTTAGAGGGAGGGAATTGATGAGAGAAAAATTATAGAGAGAAGATTATAAGTGGGAAAATTTTAAAGAGAGAAATAAGTTGAGTACAGTATAGAATGATATGTGTTGAGTGTTTATCATGTGATGGGTGAAATATGATTCTCAAATTAAGTGGTTAAAAATTACCCAATTCATTTTGACCATCAATTAAATATGATTCATCCATAATCATTAAAAAACAGGCGAATGTGGGCGAGTTGATGACTCCTGTCCCATATTGCCACCCCTACTTTTAATCAATGTCAGTTGCTTAATTTCTCCCCAAAAAAAAGATGCCACTAAAATCCGCTAGACTAAACTAAAATAATGCCTTAGTTATTGCTGTGGCATATGAAATAAAATTCATCATGGCAAAGTATGTAATATAATAATAAAAAATGATAATTATTGGTTGATTATTTAAACTTTTATGTTCCTTCGAATTGTGTGAAATCGGATCAGGTCAAGTGCTCAAGGATTTTTCTCATCGCTATTCTTTTATTTCGTTGATGTTGCATTCATCATTTATGGCATTGTGTGACATTTCATAAGCATTTATCTTCATTTTTTTGGCTTTAATGCCATTTTGAATTCATGTAGGACACGCTTTGAGTTTGGGGACCAAGGATATTTGTGCGTGTGGGTGAGAGGTAGCAAGACCAAACCACACATTTCTCTCTCTTTCTCACACATTTCTTTCTTTCTCCAGCGGTGTCTCTCTTCTCTCTCATCCATCTTCATTTTTCCTTCAACCTTTCACCACCATTTACACCACTTCCCTTGTGATTCAAGCATTGCCACAAGGTAAAAAGGATAAGAACACCAAGATTTACAAAACTCTTATTTTTGTTTGGAGATCGGAGCACTTTCATCGGTTTACTTCCTTAGCAGGTGTGGAGTGTGTAGCATATTTAAATTCTAGGAGTGGAGTCAATTAAGGCCTAGGGGGGCGTGCCCTTGGCCTCGCTCAATAGAATATATATAGTTAATTTTTAATTTTATTTTTAGTATATATGAAAAATTATATATTTGTTCTTTAAATTTCTTAAACTTTGTTAAAAAAAAAGTCAAATTTTTCTTTTTGAATCATACTCTAATTTTTTTCCTTTCAAATATATCTCAAATTTTTTTTTTTTCTTTTTTCTTCTTAAAATTCTTTTTTTTTTTTTTTTTGCGTGTTATAACTTATAACAATGTTAGTTAATTTTTTTTTTTTTTAAACTGTGTCCCCACTGAATTAAAATTCTGGCTCCGCCCTATTTAAATTTACGAATTTTTTTTTGAGTTTTGTTGATTCATTGTGCATGGTTGTATTAGAGTGTTTTCCTTGTGTCAAAATTGTATATTAGTGGTGCTTCAATGATTCTAATGTTGCAATTTCAGGTATAGTATGTTTAATTGACTTCATATTACGATTATAATTGATAATCAAGGTGCCTAAGGCTTTCCTTGGTAAAGTTTTTAATTTTGATTTTCAGTTGTAGTTTTCATTTTTTTAAAAACAACTATAACAAAATTCGTTTGGTAAGTCTATTTTGACTTTTCACATTTCAAAACTTTTGAAAATTAGTTGTCATTTTCTTCACAATTCTCACAACTCCAAATGAAGTTTTGGTTTTCAAATACTATTATTTATTATTTTATTATTATTCATAATTACATAAATGTTATTTATTATTTTATTATTTTTCAATTATAATCTAATAGTAAACAAAAGTGTAACGACCTTACCTGATGCCAAAATTTTAAAAAAAAAATATTCGGCATAACCTCCCCTAAAAATGGACCTTCAACAACCTGTCCCAAAACACAAAACACATAAAATCATCTAGCATCCCATTCATCCGTTCATTATACCTTAATATAGTTCCTTTCATGGTGGAACATTCACACACCAATTAATCCAAATTATCATAATTACAGTCCCAAAATACATGGTTAAGATCTAAAGTCCATGTCTTATAACGTTACATGATACAATTACATGAAAATATATACCATGATTCCATTAGTTTCATTTACATTAAATAAAAGATAAGTTCGTTCTTAAATTACAAGGCCATGAATACTAACTTAGTTACATTTCCACAACTATGAATATACATAGAATGGTCAAAATACAAAATAGCAAACAACCTTCTAACAACTTTCAAGTTTCCGGAGGATTGTCATCCGCCATTTCTTTGCCATGACCTGAAAAAAATAATAAGTATGCAGGGTGAGCTATATGCTCAGTAGGTGACACTTAAGACACGCATCTTGTGTCCCCGTGAATCCAAACATAGAATAGGTCAATGGGAATGGGGATCATACAATATCGGGATAATACAACATTCTAATCAAACTCAAGTACAAACAATGCAATGCCATGAAATACGAATGCATGCCGATGTCGCTCCCCGTTTTCACATTTAAAATCCATCACTTTCAAACTGTTAATATAACCCGCCCTTTGGTGACCCCGCAGCGATACGAGAGGAGGATTGGCTAGTGTCCCTGACCCTTGGTAACCCCGCGGCGTCATTATGGGGCCCAGCTAGCTCAACCACACTAGGGCGACTCCCTAGTCCCCTCTAGGCTATATTAACACTCCGGTCCTTTGGTACCCCCGCGGCGACCGGGTTTTCCAAAAACACTTTCATCAAAATACTTTTCCCCAAAACTCCCTATTTTCATTTCAAAAACAATCTTCCCAATCATGTCTCTTGGTATGCATGTACATCATGTTCTTAATGCCATGGAAGTGAAGGCTTTCACATTATACAATCGTGTATACATTACAAGTACTCTAGGAAAATTACACATGCCATCCCATATCATTCTAGCAAGTTTTACAACACTATAAGCATGGTAAATCAATTTATCAGACAAGAAAATTAGTCAAATAAATATGTTCTCATACAACTCAAGTAACACATTTAATCATAACCTCACATATAACACTTACATCATCTTTAATACAATTAATTCAAAAATAAGCATACTTTTCAACAATTTAGGAGGTATAATTCACAAAAGAGCAAGAACATCATGAGTTAAGGGCCCCTACCTCAAGATTGCACAAAACCCTTAAAATGGGTCCTTAAATTCGAGCTCCCAAAGAGGACTAAAAGCTGGAATTTCTGGTACTAGCAAGTAGAGCTTGTCGTGCTCGTCGTTTTGCCTCAAACGGCACCTAAATCCGCCAAGAATTGAGAGAGAAATCAAGGATTGAAGTTGAAAAAAAAAAAAAAAAAAACAGAAGCAGAGAGAGAGATATATAAGCTGCCCGAGAGAGAAAGCAAATTGGAATTAAATGGGTCTGTAATGACCCTTATATCTCAGGTGGGCCCCACAGTTGAAAAGTCATTATACTAAATATATATAAAGATAAGTCAAAAACTTTACAAAAAGTGTCAGCTTTATTATTTTATTATTTTTCAATTATACTTGAATGGCAATTAAAATATTATTTTATTATTTTTTAATTATACTCGAATAGTAAATAAAAGAGTCAATTTTAAATAAAAAATAAATTTACCAAACATATATTTTCAAATACTCTCTCTTTCTTCTTTTGCTTGTTACTAATTTATTTCAGAGACAAACGATCCATGGAGGTTGCGGGGATCTTTCTGGGGCCGATCTTTGAGATGCTGCGTGACAAGTTTTTCTCTCTGGTGCAGTCAAACTATGGCCGTCAAGAGGAAATGGTTGCTCAGTTGGAGAAGTTGCAGAAAACGTTGCCAGAGATTCGTGCTGTTCTGGCCGACGCCGAGGATAAGCAAATAACTGATAAACGGGTTTAATCATGGATGGATGATCTCACCGACTTGGTTTACGACTTGATGATTTGCTCGACGATTTCAACACTCGAACTTTGCGACTCCAGGCAGAATCTGAAGCTAGCAGTAGCATCTCTCCTCCTAGTAAGGTACGAAAACTCATCCAAACTTGTTTCACTCACTTTACTACTCCTAAGCTTGATAACGATATGATGTCCAAAGTAGAGAAACTCACCGAAAGATTACAAGGTATTGAAATCCGAAAGAAGAGCCTGGGTTTGAAAGCCAGTGTTGGAGGGATTGGGTCCACCACAGCAGTATCAGAAAGACGACGGGAAACGACTTCTTTGGAAGACAAATCTCTCGTTTATGGCAGAGAAAAGGACAAGGAGGCTATCCTTCAATTGTTGTTGAAGGAAGATGAATCAGTTAGTGTTTCTGTGATTCCCATTGTGGGCATGGGAGGCATTGGTAAGACGACTCTGGCTCGACTCGTCTACAATGATGAACGCATAAAGGGTTGTTTTGATCCCAAGCTGTGGGTCTGTGTTTCTGATGATTATGATGTTGTCAGAGTTACTAAGGCCATTCTTGAGGCGTTCACTTCAGACGCTAATAAGTTGGAGACTCTGAATATGCTTCAAAAAAAATTAAATGAGAAATTGTCCGGGAAAAGATTTCTTCTTGTTTTGGATGATGCTTGGAATGACAATTATGCAGACTGGGATGTCCTACGCCGTCCCTTTATGCATGGGGCACCTGGGAGCAAAATTATTCTCACAACTCGACTTCGAAACGTTGCAAAAATTACATCAACATTGTGTCCGTCCCAGCTGGCTTACACTCTAAACGAGTTGTCCAAAGATGAATGTCTATCTTTATTTGCTCATCATGCACTCGCGAGACCAAATTTTGATGCACATCCACATCTTAAAGAAATTGGTGAGAAAATAGTGAATAAATGTAAGGGCTTGCCTTTGGCAGCAAAAACACTAGGAGGTCTCTTGCGCAACGAATCACAGCAGAGAGTGTGGGAGAATATATCCGATAGCAAGATTTGGGATTTACCCGAACAACAAAGTAATATTCTTCCGGCTCTTAGATTGAGCTATCATCATCTCCCATCTCATTTGAAGCAGTGCTTTGCTTACTGTGCAATATTTCCAAAGGACTATGCGTTTGACAAAGGGGAGCTAATTTTGTTGTGGATGGGGGTAGGTCTTTTGCCACTGTCAACAGAAAAGAAGCAGATGGAAGATTTTGGTAGTGAATATTTTGATGATTTATTATCAAGGTCGTTTTTTCAACAATCAAGTGCTTTTGAATCACGGTTTGTGATGCATGACCTTCTAAATGATTTAACTCTATATATCGCTGGGGATATATGCTTTATGCTAGATAAGTTGGTAGGTGATAAGCAAATTGAAATTCCTGAAGGAGCTCGACACTTGTCATTTCTTCGTCAAAGATTTGATGGCCTTCAAAGGTTCAGGCCTACTTATAAAAGGCAACATTTGTGAACTTTTCTACAATTGTTTGGCAATGGAGCAGACTACTATTTACATCTTAGAAGTAACGGCTCAGCAAACGATGTTTTGCTTGATTTATTTTCGAACTTACAATGTGTAAGGGTGTTGTCTTTGTCTAATTATGCCATAACCGAGCTACCGGACTCGATTGGTGATTTAATACATCTAAGGTATCTTAATTTATGTGGGACTCCAATCGGACGGTTACCTGAATCGGTCAGTAATCTATACAATTTACAAACACTATTGTTGTGCAATTGCGAGTATCTCTGTATGTTGCCCTCAAACATTGGAAATTTAATTAACCTACGTCATCTTGACATAACTAGGACTGGTCTGTACTCAAAGGCTGGTCGATTTGATGGGACTGGTCTGTGCTCAGGAATTGATAGATTGACGAATTTGCAAGCATTGTCCCATTTTGTTGTGGGCAAACATAATGGGCCAAGACTATAAGAGTTGAAGAATCTGAGGCTTTTACGGGGAAGTATTTCTATTACAGAGTTGCAAAACGTCTCAGATGTTCAAGATGCAAATGAAGCAAAATTAAGGACTAAGCAGAACATTGAAGAATTAACGTTCGCATGGTGTGGAAGAAATTTCAATGATTTTCAAAATGAAAACCTTGAAATGAATGTACTTAACATGCTACAACCTCATGGAGACTTGAAAAGGCTCAAAATTAAGTTCTATGGGGGCACAAAATTTCCAAGTTGGATTGGCGATCCATCATTCTCCAAAATGGTGAACTTGTCTCTTGTGAACTGTCCAAAATGCAAAATTTTACCACCATTTGGGCAACTACCCAACCTCAAAGAGCTATGCATTCAAGGCATGACTGAATTACAAAATTTGGGGGTTGAGTTCTGCGGGGATTGTTTTCCCCCTTTTCCATCACTGAAGAGTTTGAGATTTGAGTCCATGCCGGCATGGGACGAATGGGATTGTTGTATTGACGTTGAAGAAGCTGGAAGACAATTCCCTTGCCAACGGGAGCTTAAAATAAATGGTTGTCCCAAGTTGAATAGGATTTCACTTTTAATGCTTCCCTCTCTTCGAACATTATTCTTGCGAGGTTGTGATGAGGCGGTGCTACAAAGTATTGTTGATGTGACCTCACTAACTAGTTTGAATGTTACGAGTATTACAGGGCTTCTTCATCTTGATGAAGCATTGGTGCAGTACCTGGTAGCACTTGAGAGTCTTACGCTCTTTGAATGCAACCAGCTGGTGGCTTTTTGGCAAAATAATCTTCTCCGTCCCCAACTTGTTTCGTTTGGTGAAGAATTAGATGAAGGGCTGCCTTGCATTAATCTTCAAGAATTGTATATAATTGATTGTGTGAATTTTGAGAAGTTCCCAAATGAGCTGCATAATCTCACATCTCTCGCATCATTGGAGATAGTTGGGTGTCCAAAACTTGTGGAGTTTCCAAAGACAGGTGTCCCACCAATGCTCAAACTACTTCAAATACAGGAGTGCAATGCATTGAAGTCCCTTCCGGACGGCATCTGTGGTCTTGAACGCTTGAGTATTTTTTATTGTTCGTCATTGGAGTACTTCCAGCAGCAGCAGCAGGATATGAATATGTCATCACTTCAACAGCTAGACATCTCGGGATGGCCGAAGGTTGGAATGTTAGTACTTGGGATTGGGAGGTGCGTAAATAATTTCGCTAGTCTTCGTAGACTCTGGATACAAAGTTTCGATGTTGTGGAGTGCTTGTCCTTCCCCGAAAGAGGCTTACCCAACCTCAGTCAACTTGTTATACACAATTGCGTGAATCTCCGATCCTTCGCTGCTACCACCATTACCAACCTGATTCTTCCAAGCCTCCAATCCCTTCAAATCAAGTATTGTGAAAAACTGGAGTCCATCCCGGAGGGAGGAGTCTGCTTGTCCACCCCCAAACTCAGATCACTTTGTATCTCCAGTTGTTCAAATCTGACGTCGTTGCCATTTTTTGATCAGATTCTTCAAAGCCTCGAAACCATAGAAATATATAATTGTCCATTTCTTGAGTCCTACCTTCAAGGGATTGGGAATTTGCCCCCCAATCTTATTGAATTTGTACCGGATTTTCTCGCGGACTCAAATCTCGGTGATATCCCAGACCCTTCTCTTCCACGCTTCAAAGTCTTCAGACCCAGGACAGAGGTGACTACATCAGCCTTATGAATTTTGGGCCTTTTTTTTTTTTTTTTTCCTCTGCATGCATCCAATTTCTTGCTCATCACAACCTCTATAACACATGCATCAAATTTCCCGCTCATTCTGCTGCATCATTTAAAAGAAACATTTGATTTATTATATGAGATCATTGTTTGTGGGTAAATCCGAACTGGATTCTTCTCTTTTGATTTATTATATTTAACTCGAGCATGCATCAATATGTTTCTCCATATATCTTTGTTAACTTTTGGACCACTTGGATGTTTTCCATCTGAGTATTATGTTATGTTGTTGATATATATTAGTTGTGATTAACGAGTGGATAATTTTTTTCAAGATAGATGGTTTCTTGAACAAAGTGTAAGGTTATTTTTTGATTTTTTCTTCAATAAAGTCTTCTATGCTTCAGAGACGCAAAGGAAGGCATATTTACAAAAGAATTCCATTTCACTTGTCCAATTACAATGTCTTTTCTCTTACAGAGAAAACAAAACATCATTGAGGTCTCAATAACAGGATGTCTGCATGCCACTCCAATCACTGCCAGCCTGTCAGGCAGTTTTCGCCAGGCAAAGGTGAGAAACATAGCCAGTAAATGTCATTGTTAATTCTTCCCTCCTTGTGATATGGTATTTCCACACCCACGAGAATGCAGAAAAAAACTTTAACAACATAAATTGTTATGACTTATGTATATGCATACATAGGTGTGTGTGTGTATACTTTTTTATTTATCGCTGTGTTTTATCAGATAAGAATTCAATTGAATAGCTTTTGTATCATTTGTTTGATGTACATTAAAAATTTGCAGGGATCTAATGATCTTCCGATCAATCAAGAATAGTTTAGTAATCAAGCTAGCTTTATGTCATCAAGAAATGTGTCCAAGGATACCTCTAATATGTAATTGGCTGGGATTGGCTGCAATTGATTGAAGAGCTTCCACTAAAATTCACGAAATTTACTGGTGGAGTGACTGAGAATCATAATGGATCTGAAAAAGAAAATGATAGTTTCCTATGAGTTTAATGTTTATTGGTTTGTAGTTATGGTGTTCACTAAAGAATTGCATTCTGTTATACCAGTATTTTATTTATAGTTTATTGTTACGAGTTAGCGTTGATTGGTTTGTAGTTATGGTGTTCACTAAAGAACTGTTTGCTTCTCGTAGATTGGCGATGAGGCTTGAACTTGCAACCAAAATCCCAGAGTTCTATTCTTCAAGGTGAATAACATTCTGAAAATTGTGAGATGTTGTATAACATTATGATGTTGTATGTATATGCGATGGAGTTGGTGGAGTTCTATGATTTATGGGTGCCGGGGAAGAAGATTGTGTATGGTTTATGAATGTGTTAAGGAGGAATTCCGCAGTTGTCTCTGTTGCTTGTGCATTTGGGGAGTTGTATACTCTGTGATGTTGATGTAGTTGTGAAATTTTCTTTTCCATTACTGGAGGAGGAGGAGGATTATGTAATCAGTGAATCAACTTCATTATACTAAAATTAGTGGTTAACAACCAACAGGCCAGTGGTACCGGCTTCTACTTTTCAAAGGGAAAGCCTCAGTTGAGGTATATGTGTGTGAATACTTACTACTATATCATGTGCGTGAATACTTACTACTATATCAATCTTTTTCACATAATTATAGTCTATAAGCATATACTGCATCAGATTATATTAATCTGGAGTTTTCTGTGCATGACTTGTCATTGCTGTGGTAAATTAGCCAACTGTTGTAATCAGAAGCCAAATTAATTTCCTTAAACTCCATTGATAATTGGAGTTTTACAATTGTGGTTAATTTATCATGTTTAGGCTAATTGTTTAGCTTCTTTTACGGATTGCAATATGAAGAGTTATGGAATAGAAAATCTCAAACACATTAGGGGAAAAAAAAATCTTTCCTTTTGGATGATCCGCAAAACAATTTTTATTAATTATTTTAAATAGTTTTTGACACGTCATATTTTTATTGATTCATGTCAGCATCAGAAGGACATTCCTACTTATGTGGCCTGAGGCAAGTATTATTCATCCATTATATCTCCTTAATAAGGTCATTTTTTAAAAATATATATGTTTGCAGTGTCTTTAGCTATTTGAATACAAATTGTTTGGAGCATCTACTAATAATAATGATATTTCATAACTTTGTGCTTCAGCTATATGTTTGAGTGATACATTTTGTATTTTCCATATTCTTCATTGTTTCATATTAAATTGGTATAGATACATAAATAATATATTACATCTATATAGGGACATTTACCTAGACCTAATAGTTTGGAGATATTGTTGGAGTAAGTATCACCTTCTCATCTACCTATTTACCTATAATATGAGTCATGTAACTTTGAATATTAGGTAAATTACATTGAACCCATTCTCCTGGTGGTCGAAATTGGCCCTAATTACATTCTATAAAAAAAACTCGTATATATTGAAGTAAATATGATTAATTAGTATAAAGATTAGAAAGAAAGAACCAAGTCCAAAGCAACCATTGAAAGCAATATCAACCTTCAAACACCTATGTTATCAGATCTCAGTTTCGGATTTATCAAAATCTAAAAGACCAGCGACACTGGAACGTGGCTCATAAATATACAAATTTTAATAATTTTTCGTATTCAAAAGTTAAATGGTGTTTTTATGTAACATAAGACAATGAAGCACTTGTTAATCATTCACAAATTTAAACAAGACATATCAGACACATATCTGGTGCTCATACCTAGGTGTCCTGTGACTTCATAAACTTGTAACCATCAGAATCAATCACAAATCAATTCATTGATTCCACCTGCAACTAAAATTCTCACAATGAAGTCAGATTAAGCCAAAGCTCTGATAATTGATTCCACCTGCAACTAAAGTTTGATTCTTTAATAAAATATCAACTAATCAAATACATATACCATCTACTTTCCGAAAGAATAAAGTCACATGCCCAAGTTTCTTGTCGGATAAAAGATTGAAATTCCCTAAGAGCCAAATAAATCCGAATAGAGAAGTTTCTTAAATGAAAATAATCCAAAGAATAAGAAACCTTATTAAAGTAGAAATTGATGACAAATACAATTTGTAACTTTTCAAATTGATTACCATTCTAATATATTGACCTCAACCTTCCAACCCAAACATCATAACAAGAGTATTATATATAACCACCGTGCTACTAGCCCGGTTGTTATGATCTCTCCTCCCCAAAAGGGAAGTTTAGAGCTTTACCCCGCCAGAGGAAGTGTTGTGGGGTGTGTGCATTTGCTTTTAACTTTTGGACAAAAAGGATATATATATATATATATATTGACAAGATTGAACACAAGTAGCAAGATAAAGTTGGTAGAGCCAACACAGAAAGTTATCTAATGATGTTTGTCTACAGCTCATTCCAATATCATCAATTAGAAGAGTTAACAACATTTCGTGGTTACAAGCATAGTAAAACAAAACTAATTTCCAAATTCAAACAAAAACATACAAATCCCTCCACTCTATCAAATTAGATCACATAACACCAGAATATTTCAAAATTCCATATTATAAAAAGTTGTTCTTGTTCTAGAAGTGCCATAAAATGCATCAAGAGATAAAGGTTGAATGAAATCTATATACTTTTTCAAATCAACAGAAATCAATCAAATGCATTTTCCAGCAGCTGTCAAAGACTTCAAAGTACTGTGTGGTGCAACTATAAACCTGTCAGAGATTCTCAATATGCCACCTTCAGATCCAATCTCATTCAAACCCTTTCTTTCTACCCACCACCACATGAATTGTTGGCATCATCATTCTATTTTTAAGCATTCTATTCAGGTTTTGAATCGATCCTATCTGTCTCGAAACTCTGAATTTTCCTTGTTATTTTACCATTATGGTCACACACGCAGAACTCTCCTCTAGTTTCAAAGCATTCTCAGAAGATTGAGAGTATTATCTGTTCAGAATTTGAGATGTTGAAAAAATGAGTACATTGGATTAATGGACTGCAGAGGAAATGAAAGGATTTATGAAGAAATCAGTAACTGCTGTGCCAAGGTGAAGCAGTGGTCAAGGTACCAGTATTTTCACCGAGCCATGCTCAATCAGTGAAGGCTCAATTATGTAGACTTCAAGCTAAAAGAAGATCTACTAAATTCCAACCTCGTCAAGCTCAATCAATCCTATACTTGGTCTGAAAAAGCTTGTCAACACCCCTACTAGAGGGAAAAATCGATATTAGATTTATATTAGGGTACCCATGCTTAATCAAAGAATGCAGGGCTGTCAGGTATGAAAGTAGAACTTTATGGCTAAAGGCGGCCACTTCGCGTGAATAAAGCCGGACAATGTGGATACCAAGTCCACTATTCCCATCACCCAGGATTATCATAGAAAATGGTGGGTAGTGAAGTAGCATATTCCTCAAAGGAGTATAATTTAGTGAGCATGTTGAGATAATCTTGATGCAGAATAGGAAAAGATGGAAATGAATGCATTCATGAGAAGTTAGGTGGCTGAAATGAATTTTTCATAAGCAACAAAAATCAATGGTTTCACTACAAACTAGTGCAGGTTCTAGTTGAAGTTGTTTCAAGAATGAGATGAACCAGGGAAGGAAAATCACTGTCAAGGCTGCAAGAAACCTCATGATGACCTATGAGTTTAATAGATCATATGCCCCACTAATTGCAGGATTTCTAGGGCTGAGCTAACTTTATGGTATAACTTAGGTTAAGTTCATACATACATGTTTCCTATATATTTTAAATGGATGAAGTACATGTGTTTAACATACGTGGCAAGAAAGTGTCAATTTTGACATTCCACAAAATCTACTGCGAAAGTTTTTCTATCCGGACACATACTAAGGACCGCTATAGGGTACAAGTATGTTTTACCTAATATACAGTTTTTAACCAAATAATAAAATACTATCAAATTCATTGCATGCTTTATCATACATTCATGATATGGCTCACAAGATAGAAATGTCACTAAATCCAACAATTCTATATTATCTTCTGCAATACTCTTCAACTATGTCACAATGCTTCCAGACCCTTCTGTTGAAGTTGTCTAATCTACACTAATTACAAGTAATAAATCCAGAAAATTCTACCAATCTACAGATGTATGTTTATCCATCTATATGAATCGGTGCACCATAACCCTCGCCTACATACATGCATATAATCTGACATAAATTTCTTGCAACAAAATTATGACTTAAGCTAGCATAATATCATGTTGCCTTACACTTATCAAAAAATATATATATCATGTTGCCTTACAGCCACACAGCAGCATCCAAACAAATAATTTTGCTGCACATTAAGGGTACTAACTTAAAAGCAATTTTTGGAGGTACTCTTCGTTTTTATAATTTTCCTTATGGTGAGTCTTCAGTGAGTAAGATAACTTTAGATACGTGCTTGATTTCGGGTCGAACATCATTAGAAGGCACTAGGTTCACAACTGACAAGCATATTATTAGAAGTGAAGCGTCAGAAAGTATGAATATTCACATTGACAACAGTTAGTAACCAATTTATTGAGTAGGACACACTTGAAACTCAAAAGAATGCTGCCGATGATTTGTTTTGTTGAAGGCTAAGGTTATATAAAGCTTGTTACTTTAAAGTTAGTAGGTGGAAGAAAGGTTGTAGAGGCTTGAAAATGAAAAATATAGGTTGCAAGAATTTCATACTGTAGTATTCAAAGAAATTTTTAAGTTGGATGTTAGGGAAAAAGGCCTATATGGTAAGTGTTGAAATTAGTGTTCAAACAGAAGGAAACAGAGAAGACTATGTTTGGGAAAAATTTCAGAGAGAGAAAATGATCTCTTTTCCATTGTATATACTAGTATATAACAAAAATAGTGTTACTGAAAAATGATCAACATGCCCTTATAAGAAATACAAAAATAAACCTATATACATTCTAACAGTAAGGAAAGTGAAGGAAGACCAGCACCCTATGCTCTGATGTGTCAAAGTACGCTAAGTCCCTAACTAGACTAGAGGAAGATGAATGAGTTTTCAAAACTTTAACTACTGATAATGAATTTTAAAATCGACAACTATGATGAAAGCAACAATAATTAATAGCAATTAAAGAAAATAAATTTATATAATCACAATCATACAGGAAAACACCAAGATTTACATGAAAAACCCTATAGGGCAAAAACTACGGGACCCAGACCATACAGGTAAAAACACTATAAGAAAAGGTAATACAAACCTAAGTCTCAAATTTTAATCCCCTAGTATATCACCTAAGACGCCTCAAATGTCGGACATTCCTCCACAAACTCCATTGCTGTGGATATACAAATCTGTTTGTTAGATAATATCTGTAGATTGGCAAATCTCATTCTTAAGTTTTATACTAGAGTGTATGAACAAGTAATTGAGTTGGGTTTATCACTTAGGATTGAAGAACAGAGATGGAAGCTACATCAGAGTATCTCAACATTGTTCAGTTACACTTAGGAAAAGGAAACTGAAACCTTATAGAACTTAGGAAATAGCTTGATAAGGCTTATATAGTTTGGACAACCTTTGACATAAGTTTTGGACCTTGATTTAATTGGACAAATTTCAAACATTAACCTTGGAGGATTAGGAAACTTTAAAAATCATTATTCCTTTTTTTTTTT